TGTATTTACTTCATGGTCGTACAGTGTTGTCCAAGAAACCTTTTATTCTCACAGTTCAGGCTGTCAGACACACCAACACATCAACACACCTGACTCTGGTTCACAAGATAAAGCTTCAGATTTTGCAGGATTTTTATAGATAATACATTAACGTCATTTGCTTTTGATGCTCAGATGATTATTTTTGTTTTTTCCATACTTTCACATTCTGTCTTGTTAAACTAACATGTAGTGACTCTTCACTAAGAAAAGTATAATCTGCAAAAGTGTGGAAAAAGTGAAATACTCTTCTCTCTCCACTGGAATTTGTGTCCTCGTACTAGCTGGAGCCTGGACCACATTAGTCTGAATAAATAAGAAACATTACAGCAAAGCAGATAACACTTATGTTAGTGAATTGGCATTTCATGATTGAAACCATGTGGCCTTTTACAAAATCAATACTTCTCAGGCTCTGCTTTTCTTCATTCATGTCCACTTCTTTTCTTGACGCTTGACTTTAAGTGAGAAATATTTGCAGTTAGGAGAATCTATAATTAAATCCACCGAAAGATAAACTAGGTCAGCCACAAGATGGGTTAGTGGGTGGGGGAAGCAAATCGGTTTCACTTCAAAATAGTACAACTAGTTTTCGGCATTTACCAGTTGGAAATGACTGGAAACGACGGGCACACTGAAGAATCTGCATATGCATCGTCTGGAAATTATCAATTGAAAAGACAGTGTGCTGTAGGCGTGTAGCGCCAAACAAGAAGGCTGGAGCGGTTTTGTTTAAAAATATAAATACACTTGATCTCTTTCAATGCCACTGCTAAGCCCATTGAGGCAGAGAGGCAGCACAGCTCCAATGTTAAAAGAGGCTAATTACTCCCAGTATCTCCCACACTCCAGGGAGGCGAGGTCATGCAGAGGACAGGCATGGGAAACATTCCTGCAGCCTGCTGCTGCTGCTGCTGGACCTGCCTTCCAGCTCAGTCTTCCCCTGTCCTCGTTTCTCTTTCTTCATCCATCCTCCCCCGGCTCCTTGTCTTCTGTCTCTATCCTGTGTCCCATTTAGCATCGCTCACATCTTCTTCTTGCTCTCTGACTTGATCACTCTTCCCAAAATGTATTATTTGTTTACATTTTGGTCTGAGTGCACATATTGAGTCATTGTTCATCATTTTTTGGGGGTGGCAGAAAGTCAAGATATACTGATTT